CAAGAGAAGACGACGGGTGTTGCGCAAGGGAGAAGAAGATTTGAAGACAAATCATTTTTTCTAGATCCAACGCACCGGACCACTTACATCTAACGGCCTGAGCGGTCGCCCGTTTGGTTTTTTGGGCCGATCGGCCGGTGCCTATCACTGTGTCACGGGCCTAACACTGCACGTGTTTATTGACTGTTTGTAAGGCTGGTCTGGTGAACCAAATTCCCCTTCTCCTCCTCCTGTCCTGCGGGTGACACGTGTGCGGCGCGCGAGGAGCCACGCAGCACGCGTGGCCGGCCGCGCGGCACGTTTTCTTGCCCCGTTCGCCGGCCGCTCCGCCCACTCCCACTCCCCGGACCGAGCCGATGGCGACGCTGCAGCTGAACCACATCGCGCGGGAGACCGGCGACGTGCGCGGCCTCGCCGCCTTCTACGAGGAGGTGCTGGGCTTCGAGCGCGTCCCGTCCCCGGCCTACTCCGGCTTCCAGGTCGCCTGGCTCCGCCTCCCGGGCTCCCCCGACGTCGCGCTCCACATCATCGAGCGGGACCCGGCCGTCGCCGCCGCCGCCCCGGGGGCCGCGCAGGGGGGCGCCACGCCCGCGCAGCTGCCCAGGCGGCACCACCTGGCCTTCTCCGTGGCCGACTTCGACGGGTTCCTCACCGTGCTCAGGACCCGCGGCACCGAGCTGTTCGAGAAGTCCCAGCCCGACGGCCGCACGCGCCAGGTCTTCTTCTTGGACCCCGACGGTGAGTGAGGGACCCCTACCTTCTCCGATGCTTGCTAAATTCAACTTTTCTAGTATCTCGACGACGTCTCTGTTGCTTGATCTATGCTTGCTCACTGTGCCATCTGCGTAATGTGTCTAATTGACGAAATTCTGAGAGAGATTCTTTAGTAGTAGAACTGCAAAACAGTCTGCAATTTAGGAGTGGCTTGAAACGGGAGGGTTATTCAGGTTGAATGATGGAGGAATGCCAGCCTGAACCTTGTTTGCTTCATCACAATCCATCACCTGTGCTGTTTGTGAACTTGCAGTGTCCTTGCGGTGATCTTCTTCAGGCAAATATCAGAGCTGTTGGGTTTATGCATGTTTATGTCCTTAGGATAACTTATGATAGGTAGTACTAGTGATGTTGGCTTATCATGTCAAGTTCTTGAAACGGGGCTAGTTCAGATATGTTTCTTATATACTGCTATTCAGTATGTGTGTTGCATGCTTGATTATGACCAGATCGGTCAGTTTGTAGTGCGATACTTGTTTGGTAAATGCTTTTGTTTCACTTTTCTAGTTGGGTTATGCTAAGCCGTCCTCCAAAAAGAAAAAGAAAAAGAAGGTTATCCTCTAATAGGGCTCTGAAAACGAGTTTTACGCTATCGGTTCCAGCCAATTGATAGGAACTACATATCTTTACCATAAATACATGGCAAGCCATCCTTTAGGTTGATGATACATCTTAGCCAGAGGCAGACTGTATTTGCTTGTTCGTAAGTAGTGCTGCAATTGTATGTTTCCAACAGGAGACTGAAATTGGTAATTCGTTGTCCATAACTTTTTTTTTTGACTGGATTCGTTGTCCATAACTAGCTAGGGATTACTTTATCATGTGTTTAGGCTGCAGAGATAAAGTTGTGTGTTCTGGTTAGCAAAGCTGATTACGAGCCGACTGTCTGATACCTTTAAGCTTTCCAAACCTATGGGCTGTATATAATGGATTCTATCGATTGCTTTGCATATCGGACCATTCTTCCTAGTATCTAGTATGCCTAGATTTCCTTTTCCTTTTAACTTGGGACTGGTCTGTGAATCTTGTCGTACGCACTATCAAGTGTAATTGTAATACAAAACGAAAGATGGCATCTGTCATGACTAATACCACGCTTTTAGATGCCAAATCCGAAGTTTATGAATTGTTACTCAGTCTGCAGTGAATTTCCTGTGTACTAGTAACGCTTTGTAATTCTGATATCTGAAACAAGAATTGTGAATTGACAAATGGACTGCATTTTCATCTGTCTTTTCATGCTCGCTGCGTATAATCTGTACTGCAGTCCATTCCAACAACATCCACACCTCAACCATCATTGACAGCTTGGTTCTGCCTCTACCGCAGGCAATGGTCTAGAAGTCACAAGCTCGAGCCCAGGCGATAAGTAACCTGCTGGGAGCAGGAAACACCTTCTACTTCTGCGACACCCATGTAAGTGGTAACTGATGTTGCAGTTGAGAATCCATTGCAAGCTGTGCCGGCGCCTACCATTTCCGAAACCAATTTCCCGAGCTTAAATTGCATCGGCGGTTTTTCGCAGCTGCCACGGCAAACAAGCAGGGAGCAGTTAGGCTGCTATGCTATGCTGAAGTGCTGTCAGTTTTTCTTTCTTGCACATGAGTACCGGTTACACTGATCCACATTATCTATTTTGCTTGTTTGGTTGCAGGTAGTGATGCCCACCTCGAGACTGAAGATGATGGAAGCTGCAGAATTTGAGGGAAAACATCCAGTGCCATGCGTTACTCCGAAATAAATAAGGACCTTACTACTTATATCTATCTGCTCCCCATGCTTGTAATCTGGATATGCATGTCTCTGGCTCAAGACTGAACTTGTGCTGTGTGTTAGAACATCAAGTTAAACTAGTACTCCCTCCGTCCGGAAATACTTGTCGAAGAAATGGGTAAAAATGGATGTATCTAAAACTAAAACGCGTCTAGATACATCCATTTCTCTAACAAGTATTTCCGGACGGAGGGAGTACTACAAATGATGTGCTTCTTGCCCATCAAATCTTTCGATTCGCCTTCATATGAAATCTTTCGATTCGCTGATGTTCCGGTTATCGCTGAACCAATGTTTCAAGCATAACAAGCAGGAACGCAAAGATTGTTCAGGCAACAACTGAAGCAACTGATTATTAGGCAAAAAAAAAGGGCATCTTATTGTAATGGCTGGTGAAATACATTGTACAGAGCCTCGGAGCACATGAACTCTGCCGATCGACGCCGCGCGAGGTGGCCGCCGGCCGGCCGGCGTGAGGCGATGAGGGGTCGGTCAGTCGTTGGCGGTGGCGAGCTGGACCTGGAGCAGCTCGTCCTCGGGGATGACGCGGATGGTGCAGTCGGAGCGCGGGTAGGCGGCGCAGAGCAGCGCGTAGCCCTGCGCCACCACGTCGTCGCTGAGCATGCCGTCGCTCTGGTCCACCTTGCCGGACACCAGCCGCGCCGGGCAGGTCATGCACACCCCGAGCTTGCAGTCGTGCGGCACGTCCAGCCCCTCCTCCAGCGCCCGCTCCAGGATGTTCTCGTCCTCCTCCATCTCCACCACCCGCGACTCGCCGCCGTGCTCGATCGTCACCCGGTGCGCCCGCGGCGCCGCCGCCGTCAGCCGCACTTGCGGATGCTGACGGCCGAGCAGGATGGCGGCGCTGTGGCCGAGATGGAGGCGGGGGGAGGAGATGGGGGTGGCGAGGTGGAGCAGCGAAGCGGCGGCCATGGCGTGCCCGGCTCGGCGTTTGTGTGCGGTGCGCGGGGCAGGGCAGGTGGTGTGCTAGCTAGAGGATAAGGCGCTGTGCTGCTCTGCTGTGTTGTCTCGCTTTGCCTTGGTGTAATCACGGCCGCTCATTTACTTCCTCGATCCATTCTTACCCGCTAGATCCGCCTCATGGGAAATACATACATTTTATGTACCGAACTGCCTCCCCCCATGTCAGCCCCCCTTAATACCGCCGGGCGCCTCAAACCCCCGGGGCGGACGGCCCGGTCACAAAAATACAATCCAGACGGGCCTCAAACGTCTGGTCTGACAGGTATCCCTCGTCATTCAACCAAAATATAGGATGTCCGGGCGCGTCTGTCACGTCGGACTGACAATGGAATTTCACACGAAATCGTTCGGAATTCTGGTGGTTCAACAGGCGTCTCCTTCGGTGGGGGTGTGAACGTCGCGTGGCGCCGCTCCAGCTCATCGCCCAAGCCGCTATTTAAGCCAGCCGGCGTCCCCCAACCCTAGCCACATCCACCTCCCCCCTCTCCGCGCCGTCAGCCAGAGCCCATCTACCACCTCTCTCCTGCTCTGCCGCTCTTCCCACGCCCTCCGGCTTCGCCATGGTTTGACAAAGGAAGACCACCTATGCTATGCTCACGCCGGAGCACCAGTTCTAGATTGAGCAGGGGATCCGGGTGATCCGTGCCGCATGTATCGCGGCCGACTTGCCTCTGGACTCGCCGAAGCAAGAGGATGAGGAGGAGGAGGAGGAGGAGGAGGTGGCTTCGATGGGGGTGGCGGATGCGGAGGAGGTGGGCAGTCGAAGGAGGGGGAACTGGCGTCGCGTCCGGCTCCGGGCTTCAACATGTAGGATGCGAAGGCAGAGTTCGTGGTCGCCCAAGCGGCCGAGATGGCGGAGCAGCAGGCCATCATGGAGTCCATCCATCATGAGGCCTATGTGGAAGCCAACCGGCAGGAATGGGCGGCGACCGACGCGCTCTTCGATGAGGTCGACGAGGAGATGGATGCGGAGGTCGGCGCGGAGGAACTGGAGGAGCCGGAGCTGCGGCTGCCTCTCATGTACCCGAAGTCGGGCACGGAGATAATGGACATCTCCGACGAGGATTAGGGCAATATAGGTTACTTGATCTACGTAGTACATGGATTTCATTATTTGCATGCTTTTGTGTGGATTTAAGGTTTCTAGTATGAGATACCTGATGCAGAGACGCACATTTGAGGCGTGACCGGTCACTATCCGTGAAAAAGGTAAGAAATGTATGTTAGTATAAAATATATATTTTACTTCACGAAAAATTACAAACATAAATATATAGCACAAAATATACTCATAAATGTAAATTTTGTGGTTTCCCAATTCACATCTTACTGTTCTTGTACCAATTTTGGTATAGTAAATCAATATAAACGTAATTATTCGTATACCAAACATAATTTCTAAATGATACGACTTAAGAAAATCTCGGGTGTCAAATAGCTTATTCTACACCCTAGGCGATGAATGGCATTACTATTAATGTACTTGCTGTTACTCTTTTGAACCAACACTCATTTTCATACCACTCAAATAATTTATCCATAGGATAAACATGTATCCGCTTCATATCCAACAATGTGAAACTAAAATAAAAATACCCGATTCACGCGCTGTTCTCATTTCAAAGCATCCAGGTGCACAAGTCAGCTCTCGTGGCTGAATGTTCTTGATCGAGATCCCGTCACTGTTCCCTCGGTGCAAGTTTGCTTCTCTAGCGTCGGCTGTCAATAACAAAGTGGCCAACGAGAGCTCTACTCCAAGAAAAGTAGTGAGCTCGCTCCTTGGCTGTCACCGATGGAGCCAAGCTCTGCTACGGCTAGTCTTGCCCCCAAGTCGCTGCCACGCCTTCTTGCGCCAACACCGACCGGGTTCGTCCGATTCCGAGCTCAATGGACCCATGAGCACTCTGACCCGACCTTTCGCCGGAAGATGGAGGAACCGGCCGCCCCTTTTCAGGTCGGCATGCCCGGTAGGCGGTAGCAAGACAGGGACACGGACGACTCGCAACCTTACCTTACCTAGCCGCGCGGATACTCTCGCCGTCTTGCATGCGTTGAAGAATCAAAACTCAATCAGCTGTTGCACACCGTGTTGCCGGCATCTATCCCAGCCACTTTGTTGTCACTCTGGCCGAGGCACTGGCATTATGTGGCGTCGCCGGCCCGCGGGGAGGGAGCATGCAGAAGCCGACGCCTTAGCTTGACGACCCCGACGACTGGACTCTCGGCGGAGCTTTCTCGGCGATTTCTCGCCGTTGTCGTCCACTCTGCAGAAAAGCAAGCGTGCGGCAGGGAAGCAACGAGGAAACGGGGCGCTTGCTTGCTTTGTTCCGAGCGAGCCGGCCGGCCGGCGTCGGCGGGTGCAGCAGTGCAGCACGATCGAGGAGACGACGACTCTCCCTGCATGGAATGGAAGAAAACATGGCGACTAGTGCTGCATGTGGCTAATTTGGTAGTACTCCTTTTAAGATTGAGAGGCAAAGAAAAGCAACACGTACGTTGCATACGAGTATCACTTTATCACCCATGTGTTAAGAGCTATAAGAAGAAAAGTTTCCATGGACGGAAGGTCAATGATGGACAGATGATCCACCGATGCGTCCATATGGCATTTAACTTGCTCTAGACCAATCTTGATTTTCTCTAGTTTCACTGAATTCTTATAGAAAATATTTTCATAATATATATGTTTAATGTTGTACTCCCTCTGTAAATTTTTATAAGACGTTTAATTTTAGGTCGAATAGATTTTAGCGTAATTTTCTATATATGTTGATCAGACTTACAAGAAAGTTTGACGTGGAGTGACTTTAATTCCGGGTCGTGGCCAACCGGGACTAAAGGATGGAGGCCTTTAGTCTCGATTTATTTGTCCCGGTTGGTGAATCGGGACTAAAAGCCGTTCCCAACCAGGACTAAAGCCCGTTTCTCCACTAGTGAACAGTGGGACAAAGAGAAGCCACCTCGGGTTATCAGATATAAACAAGCGACACCAAATCTACCAAGGTTCGACCCTCACTGTATGAGTAACGAAATCACGCTCCTGCTTGTATGTGACTATATATATCACAAATGGGTTACGATGATGGTGTGCAAGATGTACTCAGTGAGCTGGCAGTCAACTCATCAAGTTAGGGGTGGACAATTTAGACAGAGTATCTAGATCTGATCTACTGATTGTGCTAGTAATTGCATGATAGCTAGGGTTTCCGCAGATCTTGGAGAGGTTGAAGATGTCTGCTCGTTTATGGTCACCTAATGCAACACAAATTGTGTATCCACAAAAGTTGCACTACCATTAAAAACCAGGGCATTTAAATTTTTTAAATGATATATTTTTTTACGGTAAACTTTTAACCTATTCATCTTCAATCTATTATTTTTTAAATGATATTATTTTTATAAGTATCTAGCTAGGGATACACACAGGAGCCTAATAAACCGAAAAGGACATAGTAACTAATAACAGTTTGTTTTCACCATCCACACACAGAAGATTTTTACCAAGACAAGAGGAAGGAAGCTCCATGTGAGCAACAACGAAGGTGAAGCGAAGCCCGTTGGATCCAGCGCCAGGCGCCAGCATCGCACCAAACTAATCAGCCGAACTGATCGCCGAGGCAGCTTCCCGGAACAAGCCAGCGCGCGCCATGCATGCATGGCCAGGAAAGGTTCCCTGACTGACGCACCGCGGCCGACGTCAGGCCGCTGATGAGTACGGGCGTGCGCTAACGGGAAGCCCACACGGCCGCCTTCACGGCAACACTGTCACGTCCTCCGTGTGATCCATGGGTGAATTTGCATGCCATGCATCCATGAGTCTATATTTTATGTGAGAGGATCACATCACGCAGTGGCACCACTTGCCGATTAACATATGGCTAGCTAGTTGCCTTGCCTGGTTCAATGGATGCAGCATTATCTATGTTTCCTGGATCAATTCTTCTGGGTAATATTTCTGGGCTCCTTGCAGGCGAAGTAGACCCGTTGATAGCGAGGCCACATCAAGATTTTTCATGTGCTGCAACTACAAAATTCGGTTGACTGCGTGCGTGCGCGCGTGTACGTACGTACTTTGTGTTCCGTGTTTATAAAATGATATTTTTAATTTCTTTTAGAGAACTATTGAAAAAGAAACTTGATCCGACGGCTGGGGATTTCGAATCGGCAATAACAAAAAAAACTTGACTTGGATTGATTTCACTAAGCTATATATAATCACTAGCTAGTAGCGCACTTGAAACTAGGGCCCGATGTAAATTTGGTTAATAGTGCTGGTACGTGCACAGCATCACGCTAGCTAATTTTGCTGAATCAGCTGGGTAGCTAGGGTAGGACAGTGTGACCCAAAGTTTTCCTGGTCTCAGACGACGTTAACACGCGCGCGTTGCATCGTTGAAGCTTCCATTTGAACAAAATAACCTCGATTGATACCCCCGAGAGCTTCTCTCATCCACTAGCAGTACTCCGATCTCTCGACCCCCACCCCTCTCTCGTGTATATATATACACTCTCTTCTGCAACTAGCCGAAGCTCACTGCAGCATCAATGTCCCCCACCCGTTCATGTATCTAGTTAGCAACAGCGTAAGTATGGAAGCACTCCGGTGACCCGCTAGCCTCGTCGATTTCCGCCATGGCCTCAACCTCACAACCCCCCACAACGTATGAGTATGACCCCCCCTCGCCTCTCTCTCTCTCTCTC